GAGGCCTCTTACTAATTTATTACTGATTATTTCAAATGATATTTATTTATATTCCTGATTTTTATCCAGTTTCTCAAAATGCCTGCGCTCGATTCTTGCTCTGCTGCCTCAAATGCTGCTTCTGGTGCCTGGAACATTTTATCAAGTTTCTAAACAGAAACGCATTCATTATGGTGAGTCATTCCTAGTAACACTCATTTATTGCAGACATCTGTTAGCAGCTGTTAATTGGGCCAGCTTCGGTGCTTAACTACACACAACCCAGCACTCTCTGCTTCTCACCAACAGATGGCAATATATGGGAAGAACTTCTGCACCTCCTCCAAGGATGCTTTCTTCCTCTTAATGAGGAATGTTGTTCGGTAAGTCCCAGTTAAATGTTTTAGAGCCACATGGCTAAAAAAAACCCTCAGCAGAGTACAGATGCTGCTGAGGTGGTAAGGCTAAAGCTTCTTCTTTACCGTAAAAAATGCCAGAACGTAACAGATACGGGCAAAAAAACAAAGAAGTATATTTACTGTCATCATGTTTGTGAAATAATGGGGCAGTTTCAGTTGACGTAATGCACGGGAGTTTGTGTTTCTCTTCTACCTCAACTTGAGGTTGGCTGTAACTCAGGAGGTAGAGAAGGTCATCTAATTGGCAGGTTGGTAGTTCGATCCCTGGCTGCTCCCGTGTACATGCCAAATATCCTTGGGCAAGATACAAGTTGCTCTCTGATGTGTCCATTGGAGTATGAATGTAACTGTTGGTGCTCAGCTGGAGGTGAGAGGCACTATAATAGGAACCAGCCCATGTACTCACGTTGTCTTCCTCCCGGCAGGGTGGCCGTCCTGGACAAGGTGACCGACTTTCTGCTGTTCTTGGGAAAACTGCTTATTTCAGGAAGTGTTGGTGAGTTTATCTTTTATTTGGATGCATGCAATAAGCTCTTTATTTACTTATTTAATTTGCATCATTATAAGTTGACACTTACATCCCAGTAGGTGGCTGACATGAATTTGGAGGATCTTGATTTCACTTCAGTTTATAAGAGCTTCTATATTAAACGTAAACCTTGATTCTAGAAGTTACTCTAATTTATACTTGCAGTGTTTGAAAGGACTTATTGCATGGCCTAACCACTTGTTTTGTTTCAGCAGCTTTTTATATCTGCAGGTCCTTTATTGTAAACCTTCAGTATATCATGAGTTCCACCCACTCGGTGTTTAATCTTCTTTAAAGCCGATGAGGATTTGACAGTTTTTGTTTATTTCAAATGATGTAGGAAAATATATATTTGCTTGTTACTCAATCAGATTTTTTTTTTTTTCCAGGCATTCTTGCATTTTTCTTCTTCTCGCGTAAAATACCGGTTTTTCAAGAGGAGGTGCCATCACTAAATTACATTTGGGTCCCTCTATTGGTAAGGAATTAAAAATCTACAAGGAGAATATGATTATACTGTGATGAATATAGTTAGTATTTGGACAATGACAGACTTTTTGTCAAAAAATCAAACAATCAATATGTGATTGAAATGTAAAGTTTTACCTTTATTCATGGGGTTTAATAAAAATTTGTTTGTTTTATCTTTAGGACTTATTTAGGTACATAGTACCCAATTTTCAGAGGCTCAAAAGTAATTGAACTACTTACTAGCAACCAGTTTAATGGCCTCAGTAACCCCGGATCATATACAAATAAATCTATCAGAGTTCACTGGTGGCAGAATTATTTCCATGGTTGGAAAAAACAGCAACAATGTTATTAACTAGGGGTGCAACGATACTCGTATCGATATTGAACCGTTCGATACAGTGCTTTCGGT